TAAATATATCTTCGAGTAAGCACTGGGAGAACTTCAAGAAGGCGTATTAGTCAACGGAATGCGTCTAAACGCAGTAGTTTTTGCAGATAGTCTGGACGGTTTGCAAAGAATAATGTCGCATATATCAGATATAAGTAGAGAACACGGACTTGATCTTAATACGAAGAAAACAAAGTACATGGTAGTCAGTAAGCGCGAAATATTAAATACACAGCTTTTTATGAGGAATGAACAGAGATACGGCTTGTTGCAACTCATTCTTCAGGGCAAGGTATTTGGAAAGAGAGGACCAGGGAGAAGAAGAATATCTTGGCTTCAAAACCTGAAAAAGTGGTTTAATACATCGACAACCGGACTATTCAGAATAGCAGCAAGCAAAGTTAGGATAGCCATGTTTATCGCCAACGTGGCTATCTAACTTTGGATAGGAAGTTAGCCGAACGGATAGGCACCGTAAGAAGAAGAAACTTTTCGAACTCTTTTTGGAAAAAAATGCTGTTGTATTCAATTATCAGTTAAAAATAGTCTAGTTAAATAGTCATGCAAAAGTTTTATAAAACATAAGTTTCAAGTATAGCATACTCAACAATTGTTATGAATGTTTGTCACACTTAAACTATAGAATCTTAAGACCAACTGGTGTCAAATTAAGGCACTGGTACGCTACTTTTTCCCACTCAGAAAAGTAAAAGAAGAAGTCTGGAGTGATTTTGAATGTATAGCAGATTAATTCATGACACGAACAATTTAAAGATAATTGATATCGGTATTGAACAGTTCCTCAATAGGAAGACGATCAGTAGGAAGACTACGACAACTATGGAACGACAACTTACTGGAGGCACATTGAAAAACAGTCATGTCTACATAACAAGAAGAAGAAGAACAATTTAATTAAACGATGACAAAAAAGAAAGGGAATTAAATATGTATTTAAACATAAACGATGTTTACCTGCTATATTCATGTCAAAATTTTTTAGTACTAAATGTTTTTGTGGGCTTATCTTGATCTATTCTGACACAGCTTAAAGTTTCTCGACTGCACATGCTATATTTTTGTATACTTAAATAAATTTACCAAATTTTCCATTTGGTGGTACTAAATCTAGTCAGTACGACCCTGCGCTGTCTATCTAGGTACCGTTTAGTACTTATGCCGGATTATCTAACAGTGTTTTTGAAAAATTCTCGGAAAGAGGTTTCGAAGAATGAGTCGGTACTTTTTTTTCGTAGACAACTATTGGAAACTGACAGTTCGTAGAAAAAAGTAACTGTAAATGCATGTAAAACGGTAAATGCTTGTTTTCGGGTTAAATGAACGGTCACTTCTTAAAATTTTGTGACGTTGTTGGTTTCTGAATGAAAGTTTTGGAAAAGAGTTTTGATTTAGTTTCTACTTGTGTGAATACGTCTTGGTGAATTTTTTTTTCTAAAATGCTATTACTCTATTTTACTTCTTGCAAATGGTTTGTTTCTTTTGTTTTCACCAAACTACTTATATATTGGCCACATCCTTTATGCTGTATCTGCATTTTTTGTACTGTAGTGACAGATTATTTTAAAAAAATATGCTTGTGATGTATAATAAATTCAAAATGACATCTTAACAATTGATTGCACATCTTGTGAGATCTGAATTTTAAAACAAATCCTGCATGCTGCATCTGCCATGATCTGGAGCAATATGTCATCTAAAGGTGTGGGAAACTTACAGTTTATCGATGGGATTACAAACATGGATAAATATTTTAATATTTTAGTAGAATCTATATGTGTTTCACTGAATAGTTCCAGTTTAATACAGTGAAACTTAAGTTCACACTTAACAATTACCGTCTACCAGTATTAATTTTAGCAACACATCACTTGATTTAGATTTTACTATAGGTAGGGAGACCGGGGTTGGTTGTCATAGATTCGCCTATTATATATTTTTTTAAGACTAGTATTACTTGTTTTGAAAAGTGCGCATTACCGTAAGATAGAGTGAACATTACTTCAATATTGCCCTTTTTTCTAGATCCCTAGATGTATTCCAACATACTCATATAAAATAATAAGAGTAGCTCTACAACCTATGTCAATTTACCCCGTGATTGGGGTAAATTGTCATAGCCCTTGGGGTAGGTTGGCATATAGGTATAAAACATAACTTCACTGGAAAAATATACAAAGGAGCAGTAATCAATAATGGGTAGGTATATAAAATAATAGAAGCCGAAAAATATAGGTAAATGTATTTAATAAGAAGGTATGAATTCAAACAACGTTAACTTTTTTTAGTTAATAACATAATTAGAAATCTGTATTTGGAAATACTGTTAGTATTCATCACAATCGCAGTTTTGACATCTATATGGTACAGTATTGCCATCAGTGCATTTGAAGTGCGCTGAAAAGTTGCATTCAATGCATTCGATCCACTGTTCTCCAGGGCGACTATTGGAATGTGGCTCCATGCAAACTAGACAGAAAGCATTATCCTGGTCTGAGTCTTCATCTGAAGATACTATTGAACGCTTTTTCTTTATTTTTCTCTTGAATAAATCTTTTTTAGCATTATCAACCGTCGTTTTGGTTGAAGTGGAAGCAGAGTTTTTTGTGATTCTTTTCTTTTTTCTAGCAGAAACTGCTGCCTTCTTCTCCTGTATTGCCTTTTTTTCCTCTTCTAAAGCTTTTTTGATTGGTGTGTCTGTAAGAATTGCAGTGGAACGTCTTTTTCTTCCTCGTTTGGTATTTGTTTTTCTGTCGCCAGCTTTAGGAAATGGTCTTAAGTTTGTCAATAACTTGGTGCTGGAAGTTGATGGAAGGGCAGAGACACCATCAGGAAATGATATAGCCGATGTATCGTTAACAGATGATATAGGCGAAGTTGCTGATACTGCACAGTAGAATTTGGTAGTTGAGATTGTAAGAGGAATAGAATGTGAATTAACCTGAGTTGGCGGAGTAACTTGAATCGGCACGAGTGGAGGCGGATCACACTGCTCCAAAGACAGATTTAAATCAGGTAGAGGATGGTTAATTGGCACAGTAACTTCATTTAGTTCCGGTCGAGATTGATCAATGAGTGCAGCAGTTTGAATTGGTCGATCTGTAGCAAAAGCAGCCATAAACTCCTCAGGAGGGAATATATCCGAATTAAATGGACTTATTCCAGATACTTGAAAGCCAGCCATAATATTCTTTGGAGTAATTGCATTGGGTAGAGCTGACTTCACCACCGCTGGGATATCATATATGGTCATTGTTTGGCCCGGATTATTCGTTATCCATAAATCGCAAGCGGTGTTGATGTATTTTTTTAGAGGACCATAAACACTTCGGTCTAATGGCTGAAGTTTATGGCTGCAATGAGGTGGAAACGATAAAACAGTAACTCCGTTTTGTTTAAAAATATCGAGTGCAGTTATTGACAAATGAGAATCATGATTATCGAGCAACAATAACACTGGTTTTTCTTTTGAACATCTTACGTTGTGTATAAAATGCTCTGCAAATTTTATAAACTGTGTCTCGGTCATCCATCCCGAAGGATTCGCATCACCTATACTGCCAGGTGGACCGCTTCGAACAAAGTGCGCTCGATAGTTTTTCCTAGGAAATATGAAATACGGAGGAATTGAATTGCCTGACGCTGAAACAGCAATGGCCAGTGTCACTAGGGTACCCCGTTCTGCAGACGTTATTCTGCCAATTTGTTTAAATCCTTTACGAGCCACTACTCTATCAGGTTTCTGTACGGTGGTGATACCGGTTTCATCCATGTTATATATGTCACTCGCAGTTAATTTCAGTCGGTCTAAAACTGTTTTAAGATTTTTAAAAAATTGTGACACATTATGTTCATTAAAACTTGAAGCTCTAGCTTGGCTAGTAGCCTCTGGAGTTCTGATGGATAATGTCTGTTGTCGTTTTAAGAACGAAGTAAACCAATCAGGCCCTGCCATTTGGTTTGTAGACCAAGATGTTGGAACCGTAATATTAAGAGTCGTAGCATATTGAAAAGCCAACTTTCGAACCTGCTTTGGTGTAAGTCCATAATAAATATCAGATGCAGTTTTTAGATACTCACATAAAGCCTCTTCGTCTTGCACGTTAAAGATCTAAAACAATATATCATAGTTATTACCTAAGAAAATTTAGACTCTTAAAAATATTTATACCTGTCTGTTCTTCTGATATCCTACATGCAGCACAGATGGAATACCTCCAAGTTCCGTTTGCAGTATATCCGTTTTCATTTTTTTACAATATCGTGCAAGAGTGCGCACGCCTATATTATAGTCTTGCGAAACAACCTTCAAACTTAACTTATCAATAATATGAGCACGTACAGCTCGTTCCATAACGTCAGCAGGTGTTTTTCCTCGCTCTGTTTTTCTTTTATAGGTTCGCATGGTTACGTCTGTAAATAATTAGATAATATACCTAGTTAGATAATACTTTTGTTACAAAAATACATTTCATAGTTATACACGGGGCAGGTTGGCACATCGTGACAACCTGCCCCATTCATAAAATGCCAACCAACCCCGATGACGGTTTTTCAACTAAAATGGCTAACACGTGTTTACGAATTCATAAACTGTTAATTTGTTTACGCCAGATTAAAAAGCTATCAATATACTTTCATACCATCATCACAGAAAATAACTTAAACGTTTGTACTAGATAATATTAAAAAAAGTGTACGACAACGAAAAATTACTCACCAAATGTAAAACCACAAATCAACACTATATTCACTGGATAACGTTACAACTTCGACTGAAAGTATGGTAATACAAGCGCCAACGGTTTGTGCATGCACAGGTCGGCGCGCTATGTTTTACTATGAACGGCGCGTAATTTAAATGCACAATGTCAACGTACCCCGTATGACAACCAACCCCGGTGTCCCCTACATTTAATGATTTTTCAGAAATAATTTTAAGCTTTAATGCCTTTCCAATTGTTATTGAATATATATTCTAAGCAAATTCTTATTTGTTCCAGGTTTGGTTCAAGAATCGAAGAGCAAAATGCCGACAACAACTCCAACAACAACAGCAGAAAGAATCCAACAGAACGACACCTACACCAGCTAAATCAAAACCCAGTAAAGTGTCCCCAGTTACGGCTTCAGTACCCACTACAACCGTAGCTCCTCCTCCAAACATCCCCACACCGACCACTTCAGTGTCACCGCCAGTCGTCAACATAAAAAAAGAGTCCCCTCAAGTTCAACCTTACAAAAACAACGGCAATCTCACACCTTTAGGAAGCAACACGTCGAGTGTTATAACTACACCTTCCCCACCGATTACTCCGGGTAGTAACCCGGGTAGTAATCCTTCCGTAAACGCAGCCTACCACGAAGGCTACAACTCCTTCAACTGGCACTCCAACGGCCACAATTCTTCCCCCCATCATTACTACAGCCAAAGCTATAACCCCGCTTACTACACTCAGATGGACTACTTCAATCAGCAGAACTCACAGAACCAGATGCAGATGAGCAACCACATGGGCGGCACCTATCAAATGGGTAACTACCCCGGCATGTCCATGTCCGCCTCGCACCATCAAAACTTCAGCCCCAGACACCCGACGGACTGCAGCTTGGATTACATGAACCAAATGGTTTAGTCAAAGTACAAACGTATTTTTCTATGTTAGGACAATCGATATATCGTTTAAGTGCATATCAGAGTGTAAATAAATATTAATAAATATGCGGGCCTAAAGTTCTGCACTGTACAATAAGAAAAAAATCGAATCTTTGTATATATTATTTTATGTAGCTTTGTGTCTAAAAGGGTTTTCTAATAATACAAAAATCTAGTGAGCATTTGGAAACATTGAGGTTATTTCAGCATTTACAAGACGAAAACTTTAGTATACAGTATTTCTTAATGTCTGAAGACATTATGCATTTTTGGCATAGGCATTTGCCATTCAGCCAGTCACAACTTTTTAAGTTCTTCCCAAAGGAAAGAAAAGAAAATAATTATCACAATGCATATTTGGTTATCAGTAAAGGAACAAACATGGTTACTCGCTTCTCGTCTAGGGACCCATCAAGACATTAAATTAAAACACAAACTAGACTGGGTCACGGATAGTAGGTTTAAAACAAATGGGATAAAACAAAGGTTACTATTTTAACTGGGCTTACAAATTGAGGTTACTTTTCGAAATAAATTCTGTTAAGTAGTTATATACAATTTTGTTATTTAATGACAAAAGGTAACAAATGTTATAGGGTGGAAGGATTTTATGTTTGATTAAATTTTTTATTAAGTCGTCAGTTTGTTGTATATATTTTGTACATTCAAAGAAAATGTGGTTTAAATCTGCTTCTTTTTGACAAACTTCACATAAATTGGAATTTACAATTTTAAGTTTTGCCAGATGAGCCGGATAACATGCGTGTCCTGATTTCATTCTGATAATAGATGTAATGTATCTACGTGGAACAGAGTAATTTTTAAACCAAAATTCACTCGGGATTGAGGGTTGTATGAGTGCATATTGTGAGTTAGAGTGTTGACTATATTCATAATATTCTTGTTTCCACTGATTGTTTACAATATTCTTGATTGTTACAAATACATCTGGTATGCAGAGCTTATAATCTGTTTTCGCACCAGAATCAATGGCTTTCTTAGCTAATATATCTACATACTCATTATGCTCAAGCCCTATGTGAGCTTTAATCCACAAAAATCTAACTGTTCTTTGTTCCTGATGTAATTCAAAAATAATTTTTTTGATTAGAAGGATGTAAATATTTGTGCTTTTGCTAGGAAAAGATATAGTCTCAATGGCTATAAGAACCGACAAAGAATCAGATGCAATTATTGCGGAGTTGTCATTGGAATTCTTAAAATACTTTAATGCTTCATAAATTGCTATGGCTTCAGCAGTAAAAATTGAAAAATTATGATCTAGAGTAAACATGTTTTCTATACTTTTTGAAGGAATATAAAAAGCGCATCCAGTGCCAAGAGAAGACTTTGATGCGTCTATATAAATAACTGTTGATGCTGGCCAGTTTTCTAATAAATTCCTCCGTTGTATACGAATCAGTTGTAGATTTACCAAATATTCTATCATCTCCTGTGATCAGACAAGACGATACGTGTTTCTGGTACTTGTAAAACCTTTGTACTAAATATGTTCCTTATTCTTATTGAACTTCACCAACTACTACTGTATTCCTGTATTCTTTCTCTCTCAACTCTAGCTTTATTATTCACGCTATTTATCATTCTTTAGTATTTTCTCTAACTACACAGTATTTGATATACAACATGTTGAACGCCATCGATCGAAGTGCTTCGGACACATGTAACACTACATTATAAATTGTATGCATAAAAAACTGATAAAAAAACTTTGGGACACTACAAATTCATGACATATTACAATACACTATACGATTAACATTTTTAATTGTTTAGCATTGCTATCAAATTTTAAGTAATACCCCGTAATCTTAAAGATAAAAGGCCTACAGGTAATAGAGGATACAACAATTCATACCAGTAAAAATTGTCATTGTGTTTCCCCCCTAAATTTTATTTAAGATTAGTAGAACGAATAAAATTCACTGATAAGTGATAAAAATTCACTGAGAGAAAGTTCACCGACAAAAATTTACCCTCATTGACACTATATATTTTTACAGAACATTAAAACAATTTTTAGATGAAAGATTATCGAGTAATTCATACGTTTTTGTCATTTCTTGGCTCTTAACTCTGAAAATAGGTAATTTTCTGTCGGTAAATTACAATCACTAAAAAACAGCTTTTTCAGAAACTAATTGCGTGATTTTGGGCTCTCCAATTATAGCCTGTATATACCATTGATCAAATATTTTCGGTAAATGCCAAAAAGTCATCTTGAGTATGTACACATTGAACCTGTTATCACCGGTTGTCTATTTTATGTTTAAATTTAATGAATTGTCTTACCTTTCATCTGATCGTTAATTAAACTCCTCACTATTGCGTTTTGGCTCTAAGTATGTTTTAAATGCTCGATTAAACAATTAAAAAATTGTGAATTTTACCACTCGTTAAACCCTTTTAGAGTCAAGCTGTTTGAAAATCCAAGAGACATCTACTTTTTGTTGTAAATTTAGATTTACTAAGAATGTGACAAGAAACATTAAATTATTAAAATTAACTGCAGACACTAAAGGTTTTGGTATTGCAAATAAAAAAAGTATTATTTGTATATTCATTTATTAAAAATTTACAGGTTAGTACCGAATTATTTTAATAATGATTTTTTGTGATGAAGTTTTTAACGAAAAAATCACATTAGATAAAAAAATCAATGCAATTTTTAGTGATATTAAGAAAATTCTAGGTCATTTTTTTTTAATTAAAAAATATTTAAGAGTGGCAATTAATGTAAAGAAAATTTAAAATAAAATAAAGGAGAACGACGGAAAAGGGCATTAAAAATAAAACGCCTTTCTTGCTTGTCCTATCTAGACAAGGTCAAAAGCTTGTGTTCAGAAAAATATTCCTGTGAGTCTTTTTTGAATAATCTCTTTCATCAGATACTCCAAAAGAAGATTCAAGAGATCGCTCAGACGAATAGTGGGTCAAATTAAAAAAAAAGTGTAACTTCAAGTTTTTTTGACTCGAATAATTTTTTTTAAGTTTTTTTGGATCATTATAAACAAAAAAGGTCAGTTTTCTTTAAAGTTGATCGTTGATAGATAATTTAAACCTGGAACGAACACAAAATGACAGATTTCAAGGTTCAAAAACGAAAGTAGAAAATATTATTTGTGCCTAAATTCAAGTTCAAGCTTTCTCTATCAGCTCCCAATGTTATTTGAATTATATTTTAAAACAATCTTTTTTAATTGCTAATGATGCATGTATGGCCGGGCAGGTGATCATTTGTACGATGAGAACTCAAACCAGGCAAAATGTGTACCATAGATCTTGTTTCTCTCTCTCTCTTATACAAGCCACAGCGCCCTAGTGCCCGTTCTGTCTTATTTGTAGCGTCTCCTCACTTTCACTTGCTAAAGGTTTTCCTGCTTTTGTAATGGTGAATCGCTCTCCTGTCCTGCATAATACTTCTGACAGTTGTGTTCTAAACTGAGCGTATGTGACTTTAGGCTTCACGCCAGTTCTATGTTCAGCTAAATTCTTGTAAAAAATCCAACTGTTTCAGTAGATTAGAATCATTTTATTCTGTTCCACATTGCTGTCCAACAAATCAACACCGCCCATATGATGGTTGTATTCTTGTACAAGATATGGACAACTTACTTCTCTTTTCTACTCTTTCTTTCTGGTCATATCTCTTGGCAGTAGTTTTAGGAACTTCGCCAGCGAAAGTCGACAGAAACGTTACTAATTTGTTATCCTTCCACAATAAGCTACTTATTTCCGCACCATCGCAAGTACCAACAAACTCTACACTAGTTCCTTTTTGTTTATTTTTCATTTCAGAGAAATTAAAATCTCTTTTTAGGAGTAAAAAATAGTGGAATAGGTCAAAAACATTATAGAGAATAGATAAAAGATAGGTATCAGTAGTTACCTAACAATTTTCCAGTGATATTTATTTAACATAAACTTTTTTTAATGACGTAAAATGACCAAATAAGCGATTAACAACAAATTAATTTTTTTGTTAACCAAATTATAAATTTCTCTTGGATTTTTCAATTTTTTATTTCGTCCATTGTCATATACATAAATTAAGTCGGTTACCTAGTTGTATTTTGTCAAATTAGCATCTGAATACAAGTAAAACAGATTAGAATTTTTATTATTTTGACAAATAAAAAACAAATACTTATTTTTCTGTGATTTTCATTTTATTTCGTGTAGTTAATTTTTCCTCTACATCGCCTGTTTTTTTTTAAGAATGAATTTTAGGTGATAATATACCCAAGAAAAGCGTATGTCAATTGTAAATTGTTTAATAATCACCGGATCTCAAAAAATTTCTCATAAATCGAATAAAGTAGCCCAAAAAATTTGTTTGTATAAAAAAAAAGTTGTAACTAAAATTTGTTCCGAATGAAGATAAAAAATAAGTGGTATACGAGGTCTGGCTATTAAATAACGAGACTACTTACCTAAAAGAGTTTTATTTTAAAAATTATTCTACAATCGAATGCTCTCTTTGAATATATTCCCCTTTCCTCGCCACACAGCGTTCCATTCGTATTTTTCATTGGTTAAAGCAATGTTGGAAGTCTTCTTTTGTTAGAGCTTTTAGGAGCTCCGTCGTTTTTGCTTCACCTCTTCCATCGACTCTTCCTTTAAGGCAGACTTCATATTCGGAAACAGGAAAAAGTCACAGGTGCTAAATCAGGCGAGTACGGCAGGTGTTAGAGTACTAGAATGCCTCTGACAGTTAAATAACATTTCACACATGGCACGTTATGGGCAGGAGCGTTGTCCTGGTGCCAGATCCATGACTTGTTTTTCCACATCTCCGGCCGTTTCTTACGAACTCGCTCTCGCAGCGTTGCCAAAACTTTCAGATACTAAGTTTGGTTTACAGTTTGACCTCTGGATTCTATTCAGTCATCACTATGCCGTTAATGTCGAAAAAAACGATTAGCATGTCTTTAAATTTTGATTTTGACATCCTTGCTG